AACCCTAAACCCTAAACCACCCCACAAGCTCGGAGAGGTCTTCTTCGCAGACATTTGGGATTGGAGGACAGCCATCGACTCGCTTCAGCTGCTCTACGAGCCTTCGACCTTGCTTTTTTGGGGTAAACAAAAGGGGGTTGAGGGTTTAAGGTTTAGGGTTTAGGGTTTAAGATTTAGGGTTTAGGGTTTAGGGTTTAGGGTAAACAAAAAGGGTGTTTCAGTAATTAGTGTCATGGGGCTCTAGCGGGTTCTGTACCGGGTTCTCTAGGGATGTTATATAAGGGGGTCTGTTGGTTCAAAATCGAGCTCGGAATTGTCTATTTACGGAGGTCCCAACATGACTGTGTTTGACATCTGCAATGTTTTGAGCCCGGAGCGTTTGATTCGAAAGCCTACGGCGTAGGGTTGAGTGCTTGTTTGGGTTGAGGGCTCTTTGGTGCTCTGGTTTAAGGTTTGAACATGTTGAGGCTTTATGGTCGGGGCCTAAAGCCAAAACCCGGTTTGGGGTTTAGGGTTTAGTTCGGGGAAGCCTTGCAGCCCCAAACCCTGAAGCCAGAAAACCAAAATTGAAAGCTTAAGCCCTGAATCCTAAATTCTAACACCTAAATTGAAAGCTTCAGCCCTAAATTCTAGATTCTAAACCCTAAACTGCAAGCTGAAGCCCTAAATCCTAGATTCTAAAACCTAAACTGAAAGCTTTAGCCCTACACCGTAGACGTCCAAGCGCCAAGGAGCTCTGGCGGGAAGATCACGTGGGTAGTTACCGTCATAGGAGCCTTACAGAAGGTCTATATACCTTATGGAAGCCTTATAGAAGCCCTATATACCCTAAACTCCTCACCTGTAGCTTCCTAAAAACCCTAAACCCTAGATTCTAAACCCTAAACCCTAAACACCAAAACCCTAAACTCCCCACCTGTGTTTCCTTTCAACCCTAAACCCTAAACCCTAAACCCCCGAAACCCTAAACCCTAAACCCCAAAACCCCAAAACCCCAAACCCCGCAACCCTAAACCCTAAAACCAAGAACCAAAAACCGAAACCCTAAACCCTAAAACCAAGAACCAAAAACCGAAACCCTAAACCCTAAAACCGATAACAGAAACCTAAACCCTAAACCCTAAACCCTAAACCCTAAACCCTAAAAAAGAAAAAGTTCGACGCTGCGAGAACCCGGCCTTGGCCTGACCTCGCAGGCGAGTCGCGCCCTGGGCAACGCGAGGAAACTTCGGGGCTCCTTTTAAGGATTCCGGTTTAGGGTTGAGGGTTTA